TTAAAAAAAAGAGAACAAAAATATAGACAAATGTAGAGACAAATTTTATATTTAAGCCTTTAGATAATAACTTAATTAATTAAGTGCTTAATTAATAAATTTTAATTACATAAAGTGTTTATATTGTAAATTAAAATATAAAACTTATTGATATAAATTTTTAAAAAACTTATTTTAACAAATTACATAAAAAGCTTATTTTATAACAAAGGCAAAAGGTGGATTTACTGGTAATTTCAATTAAAATACTTTGTAATTAACAAGTTTTGAATTAATGGTTGGTTTATGAACGTTTACCTAATTTTTCACATTGTACATTTGTTTGCTTTAAAGAAATCAAGTCTTTTGACCAATAGTAAGTGTTTATTAATAACCTATAACTATCTTTAATTTCTTACTTAGATGTTTTAAAAACTTGGTCCACCTGTTACAACATTTTCCTCTAGAAGAAACATTCCAAAGTAAAACAAACGTGGTGTTGCATCGTTAATCAAGCTTTAAGTATAATATTGTCCATGTAATATCCTATTACAGAAAATTGCCATAGAATTTTAATCCTGATTGCACTTCCATTATCTCTGATTGCTCTTTAACACAATTTAATTCGTATTCTTTTTGGGTATAATTCGTATCATTATAACTACAATAATATATATATATATATATATATATTTGTGATACCTAAATTAGGGCAACATTATCCTTCTGGTATACTTAGTAGAAAAATTAATTCCTTCAATATTTTTAGAACTACAATTTTGATTTACATAATGAAAATTAATTGTTATTTCACATTTTGAATCAACTTTTTTGTTAAATATTTTAAGAAGAATGTAACTGGATTTAAAATAAGCTGATTTATCTGAGAATTATTCAAACATAGATCAACAAATATTTGTTCAAATAATGTTTTTCTTCTAAAGCATAGTATCCTTTCCCAAAGGTAATTTTGTTCAATATGTAACAAAACTTAAACTTATTTATTTAGTTAAATAAATAAAGTCAAACTTAAGACTAAGCATATAAATAAAGTCATATTTTGTCTTAATCTTAAGTAATCTTTATAAATATAAAATTATATTTTATTACTAATTTAATTCACTTTTTTAGCATAAAGAAATCTGTTAAATACTACATTTTAAATAATTATTCAACAAAAATTTCAACAAATAAAAAAAGCTATAAGCAAATAAATGTTATTTCTACAACAAATTTTGACCATAGTTTTTAAACATTCAAATTTTTTTATTTCTCTCTATAATATCACCTATCTTATCACACATTTATTTTTTCAATTTCTCTCCACAAGTCCTAAAGATACTAGTGAAGAAATTTAAAATAAATATTCTAATTAAAATAATGACAATACACTTTTATGATTTCTAACACCTTTTATTTTTATTTTTAATAAAAATTACTACTTATTAATTTATTTAACAATACCATGACTATATAGATAAATTAACTTTTAAATTGAACTTACATTCATTAATTGTGTAACGCGCCAAATTTTGGTAATATTAATTATTATTATTCTTATATATATATATATGTGTTGATTTATTTGAAAATGATATTTTATGTGTATTAAGTACATGAATGTGTGTATATATGTGTATGTATGATTGGATAGGCTGAAAATGGGCTAAGTGCCTAAGTGCAGGGCATAACACTGGGCTGTTATCGCTGCAGTGAGAGGATTCTCGCTGTAGCGAGAGGGCCCTGGGAGGAAGGACTAGAACTGTCACCTTCTCGCTGTAGCAACAGAGCGAAAGTTTGGGATGCATTTCTAGGTGCAGTCTCGCTGTAGCGAGAGGGTCTAGCTGTAGCGAGTTTCTACAGAAACCAGAGTGTAGTTTTCTCTGATTTTTTCGTTGTAGCGAGAGAGCGTATCGCTACAGTGAGAATATCTCGCTGTAGCGAGAGTGTCGCGACCAGAAAGGAATTTAAAGGGGGTTAGGGTTTGGGGAGAGTTATTTCTCCCTCTCCCTTCAAAATTCCTTTGATCCTCTCGTTCCCAAAGTCCTATTCCACTGATTAATTGCCTCCAAAGCCGTTCGGGAGCTTGATTGAAGGTTGAATCCGTGTGGGGAACGCTTAGAGGTGAGTTTTAATGGTTAGGGTTTCGTTTCTCATCCCCATTTCTCTGTTTCTCGGTTTCTTAGAGTTCCATGGAGTTCTTCCATGTGTTTTAGGCCGAAATCTGTGTAGGGAGCATGTCCGTGGTCAAATCCGAGTGTGGGTCTTCAATCCGAGGTAAGGGGGACTCTATCCTACTCTTTTGTGCATGAATTGTTGTTATTTTGATTGATATTGTGTTGTAGCTGAGTAAGCGGGTAGAAAATTACTGAGAAATGTAATATGGGCGATGTGCCGTGATATGTGAACATTATGTGTGTTAACCTGAACTTGATGGATGTGCATTGTATGTAAATATGGTGTAATATAGATGAATATTGGCTATGTGTCGTGTAATGTGAAATGAATGTGGGTCTAGTGCCGTGTATTTGAATGCAATGTGGGCTGTGTGCCGTGTGTAAGCATGATTATTGCATGCGTGAATGGAATATATGTGTGAATGGGCGTATTAACGCCGTTGTAATGTGCTGTGAATGGTTCAGCGATACATTGGGGGTGTGGAAGATGAGGACGATAGGAATACCTTGGGGAGGAGAGAGTGGTGGTGACACCGACTACGGAACGGGTGCACCACAGGCCACACACTCTCTTCCTGACTAAACCTCTGATCATTACCCTTGCTGAGCGACCCGTAACTGCCCACGTGGTATCCGTGAGGCGGGGGTAACCGGCGGCCATTAATAGTGAGAATCTGTGATCACAGTATTATAGTAAGGTGGCTGGTGTGCGTATGCGTGGATTTGTGTTTTGTACTTATGGATGTGAAATACTGCTTGTGATTGTGTTGGAAATGTGCTGGAGGTGAGACTCTATGTTGATTGTGTGTTTTTGGGTAGTGTAGAGTACTCACCCTTACATTCATTTTTCAAGTAATCAAGAAGATCCAGACTCAGTAAAAGGATGGATGAACTGTTATAGGACTTAGCTTTTATTTTGAAATTGTTGTAACTGAACTAGTCTTGTAGCAGTCATTTGATATTAATTTGTAACCTTCCCTTATTTCGAAGTATTTTTATAAAAATTAGTTATTCGAATTTGTGAAATCCTTATTAAATTGAAACTTAAAATTAAGGTGTTACAAATTGTCATGTCATACAAGGGCTGTTGAAGTTATGACCAGATGGTCCATTGCATAATTCGAGTCTTTGATTTGTTAATTAAGTGAATAAATAATATTTTTCATGTGTTTATAATAAAATAAAAAACATTTATTTAGATAAAGTTATACTTTTAATCCTCTTAACCTTTATACTTTTTCACTTTTAGTCTTTTAAGTTTTAAAAATTTCAATTTTACTTTTAAAATTATTTTAAATAAGTCACTTTTTATTATAAATGTTAATTTTCTTAAATTTTTATTTTTTTTTACCATGTGTATTGTTTATTTTCTTTCTCAAATTTATAACTTCTTATTTCTCTTTTATGGACTTTTTATTTCTTTCTCACCTCTTTTCTCTTCTTCCTCCCCTTCTTCTTCTTCATCATCATCATCATCTTCTTCTTCTTCTTCCTCTTCACCGCTATGTAATATGGAGTTTTCAAAAAAAAAAAAATATAATGATAATTTTACTAGAAAAATTGATAATGGTATTGATAGAACTTAATTGGAGCCACATTATAGGTGAGTGGAGGTGCAATGAAGCATATTTTACATTGAAATATATTTACAAAGTTGAGAAAGCCATTAATATTTATGTTGTTACTCATTTAAATTATGCATCATTCAAACTTTTGTTAAATATGTCAAAGAAATTGTAAATGGAGCTAGCAAAATATCTTATTTCTTTTTGATTTTTTGTTTGGCATTAAGAGAGACATTAAATTAAATGGTATGGATTACAGAGTTAAAGTTATGAAGAGGGTGTGAGGAAGGAGTTAACATCTCCTTCAATATAGGAGAAAGCCCAACAAACATAATAGGAGAAGAAGAAGATGAAGAAAAAAGAAGAATAAAATGAGGAAAAAATGCATTGCACGGGGTGAAAAAGTTGTAGAGAAAAAAATAAAAATAATTTTTAACAAAGTTAATATTTTTAATGAAAAAAAACTTATTTAAAATATTTTTAAAAGTTTGAGAATCAAATTAAAACTTTAAAAATTAGGAGACCAAAGCAAAAAAAATGTAAAAAGTGGAAGATTAAAGATATAATTTTGATGCATTTTTATTAAAAAATAACATTTGATAATGTTAATACGTTAAATCTCACAATATCTTATGATTTTCAAAAAAAAAAAAATACTTTATATAAATAAAAAACATTAACCTCAACCTATAGTAATAATAAATTTTTATTGTCTGATCTCAAGCATGCATGTAAAAACTTGATTAATAAATATAGTTTTTCTAAGGTTAGGTTTTTTTTTCAATAAATAAATTAAAAATATTAATTATTTTCTAAATATCTTAAAAAAATTACATAAATATTCTCAAAATACATGTAATAATAGTTAATTCTAATCAATTTTTATTAAAAATTTAAAAACTTGTTATACAAAAGTCGATTATTTTCATTTTAGGTTTAAAAATTTTATATAGAAATTAATTTAAATATATTTTTATTATGTTTGAATTTTTTTACACAACAATCAATTTGAATCTGACTTCTATTTTATTTTTAAATTTTTATATAGAAATTAATTTAAATTAACTTTCATAACTAAAATTTGTTTACATTTAGGCAATAATAAATATTTTTTAATTTATTTATGAAAAATTCCCCAAGGTTAAGATGCACGACAAAATAACAAAGTAATGCGTTAACGGTTACATAATGTCAATGAAGACCAAAGGCCTGTTTTCTTGAGGGGTTGAGGTTGTGGGCAGCGTGTCAACAGAAAAAAAAAATCAACAAACTGATTTGTACCTCCACTATCTATATTTTATAACTCTATATACCATAGTTGTATAGCCACAAGACAAAACATCATAACTAAGCCTGAGATAGTTACACGCCAAGAAGAATTCCAAAGAAGTAAAATGTCAGTACCCTGCCAACATGTACATGCATCCCCTTAACCCAAACATGGTAGAAGCTAACAAATTGCATTCAATAGTTCCTATCATACATTGCATGACTACCATTCTTCCTTGATTTACCAGCCTGCATGGTGATGCACACCGTTAGTATTCAACAGATCAGATATAAAATATATCATGTTTCATTAAAAACCAAATTTTACACATGGAAATACCTTGGTGATCATATTCTCAAATTCTTTAGTTCCATGCTCTTGAATGTAATTCTCTGCAGCAGCTAGAATGTCATCTGGCTTACCCAAGGAGTCCTTTTTGCTTGGAACATACCAGACGTTAATGTTCTGAGGATTAACAAAGAAGGGTCTGACATAGTGCTCATAAACATAGGCTGCACCACTGAAGTAAGGAATGACCAACCAGCATGTTAGGGCCAGCTTTGCATATGGCCAGATAGGAATCCTGTAATATAGAATGAGACAATTTAACCACAAGTTTGATACTCGCAACAAGCTTAATTATCTCTCTAAAAATAACCATGACAATATATTACAAAGGTTTATATAATGGAGATAATTTATTGCGGGAATTTAACAGCAGTCTACCCATTATATAGATACTTGGTATTGTTCTTATATTGCTATCAGTATAACGATAACCCCTTTATGGTTACTATTATACATTTACGACAACCAAAGGATAAGGTAAAGATTTTGCAGCTAAAAAATAAACAGAAACTCAAAACAAAATTAAACTTGCATTTCATTTTATTTGTGTTTTGATCTACGTACTCCATGTAAAACAGAACTAGGACATTCCGACATTGTAGATCTTTATATACGATTGAAGAGTAGAATAACACTTTTACTAACACCACAAAGCAGTGGTCAATCAAGTATGAATTATATTGCTGGTAAGCTTAGCTATCACGATATTTAACCAGTAAACTAAACCCATTTCTTTCCTAAATTCCTCTTACCATAACTTAGCTCCAAATCAAAAACGTCGAAAAGAAGTTACAACCATCATAAAATCCACTGTAGGTCATCAAATTAATTGAGTACTCAAATCAGGTTAAGTAAACAAGAAAAACCACAAAAAAAGATTCAAAGGTAAAGGCAAAAAGATTACCATTCAAGAACTCTGGCAAAAGTAAGTTCAAAGAGGGTGATCATTGAATACAGAACCCAATAAGTGAGCCATTGCTGGTCATCAACAGGAGACCTGCTCTCAATTGCTCTAACCGAAGCATATCTGTGGAATTAGACCAAAAAACATAAAGCATGAACGAATCTAATGATTTTAAACAACATCCATCACAAGCAGTGAACCAAACAGAACATTAAAATGGTAACTTGTCAACATATTGTCCTGTGTGCACTTACAAAGGGTACACAAGGCTAAGCACAGGCCTGCAAGAGAAACCCAATAGCCAAAGCTATCATCAGTTAAAAACACAAAGAAAAAATACTCTGAACCAAAAAATATGGTTAATTTAGTTATTGGACTAAGGTGTAAAGCCTTGTAGCACATCATTAAACTTCATCTTAGAAATAATTTCATAGACAGAGAATAGTGTATTATAATAAGAGCAACAAGAAGAAAGTGCTTCCTGAGAAAAATAGGAAAAATTGAAACATACCCTGCAAGAACATCAAAATTTTTTAGAACCACCTTGATGAAACTTCCAGCTCCAGATCCCATCTTTGATATCTCTATCTAAAAGGAAGTGTGTCAGTGTATGAAACTAACACTGCTTTGGTTGTTCGGAAAGTGTACTTAGGATTTGCCGCTAGTGGTGTGGAGAGAGTTATTATGCGTGTTCCCGGGAACTCCAATCTCACCGTTGGATCAAAGATCAGGGATTTTGATTTCCTTAATGGAAACACCAGAATTCAGGACCACTATGGCCTCATGCACTTGATATTAGCACTGAAAGTCAGCAACTACTTGGTGGAGTCGGTTACAAAAGTATTTGTAAAAGGCTACTTTTCTTTTTGTAACACCATTATTAATTTATTTTGGGTTTAAAATTAAACATTTCATAAAAAGTTTTTGAAAAGAAAATTTACTATGATCAAATTCAATTATGGTTGTACTTGTGCTGATGTGGGTTCTCGAATGCTCTATTTCTTTTTGGAGTTTTAGTCAATTGTCTCTTTTGCAACTGCACTCTGTTCGCAACATTTTCCCACAAATTTGTAGGGCATGTATTATATTTACCGACCAAACTTCATTGTTGTCTTAAATTTTACGCAATCTCCTTCACCACAAATTCAAAGCAATTATTCAAAGAATTGTATGACACAAGCCATCAGTGTTCGAAGTTAGAAGGTAATACAAGTTGAAATAGGAACTCCATGCATATATGATTTAAAATTTGAATAAAATTAATTTTAAATTATTAAATTTAAATTTAAAAAATATATATTTTTCTATTAAAAATGTAAAAAGTAATTTCTAAAAATTTAAAATAAACAAGACCTCCTTTTATTCAACACGTTCGTGATGATCCTATTTTTTTCTTTTCTTCTGAATGGTTTGTTGCCATTTTCTTGTTGAATAATTATATTTCTTACAAAATTCTTAAATTCAGTTATATTAGTAAGGTAATGTTATGTAAACAACACTTATATATATATATATATATATATATATATATATATATATATATCAAATAGAATTATCTCTCTAATAGAGTTTCATTAGGTCCTTAAGAAAAATTAGGCAATTTATTCTCACATTTTAAATTGAAAATAAAAACAAAATAGAGAGGAAAACATTTAATATGTATTTAATTTATTTTATTTTAAAAATAATAATTTATTATCGCTAATTTCACAAAAAAAATTTGAAAAAGAGACAATATTTTTTTAAAATTTAAGCATTTCTTAAATTTGAAGAAAGAAAAATATACAAAAACTCCTTGAGCAACATTGCTATTAGAAAAGACACTTGCAAGAGACACCGATAATTGAAAATGGCCATATTTTAAGTGTTATGCTTTGTATAAATCAGTTGAAATGTAGTGAGTTGTAATTTAACAGGATTGAAAAACTCAAATTGTAACTCACCTTTTCCGTTTGTTTCAACATAAATCAGAGACAAAAATTGAATAATTTTAGTGAGACTCGCATTTTCAATTTATGCTAGTCTTTGTCATGAAAAGCAACAATAACAAGGGTTAAAATTTTAAAACTTGAGCTTGGAAATTCAGAATTGATATTATTACATATACATTTAGGGTAGAAAATAATTTCCTATTCACTGCAACCCGCTCTGCCAGTTGCAGTTGCCAAGATTTTCAAAAATTGTCTTTTTTTTTAAAAAAATATTTTCTGCTATTTATTTACCTATTTTTCTTGATTTTAGGCATCTAGTTTATATAGTTGTGCATTTTAAAAAATTCTGAAAATTTTTGTGGTGTTTTGTTATACCAAAAAGAGATTTATCAAGGTTTCACTTCATCCATATCTCGCATTTTTATAGTACTTGCTTTATAAATCTTCACTCAATAAAGTGCTTATTAAGTGCAGGATGTTCTTCATGATTCTAACCGTGCATGACCAGGTCTAGAGCAGGTACATTGTATCCATTAGATCCTGAGATTGAGAGGACACGTTCAAGGCTTCAGAATTCAAAGATTACAAAGAGAGTGCAGTGCAAGACAGATGGCTACAAACAACCAAGAGAGAACCTTGAAGAAGCTGGTTGCCCTTGATGTTGGCCACCAACCACTTTGTATCCAAGTGCCTCAGTTACAAGAAGGCGCAGCCACCTATGAATTGAAGTTTGGTTTGATACATTTGCTGCCCAAATTTCATGGACTGGTAGGAGAACATTTGCACAAACACTTGATGGAATTCCATGTAGTTTGCTCTACCATGCGGCCAATAGATGTGCCTGAAGACTTCGTGAAAATGAAGGCATGTCCATTCTTATTGTGTAACGTGGCCAAGGATTGGCTTTACTTGTACCCAACACCAATTACTACCTAGAATGACATGAAGAGGAGATTCTTAGAGAAGTTCTTCCTGCCTCCAGAACTGCGACAATCAGAAAAGAAATAAGTGTGATCAAGCAACTACAAGGAGAGACTTTGTATAAGTATTAGAAGAGGTTTAACAGACTTTGTGTAACCTGTCTGAATCACCAAATCAATGAGCAGTTGTTGATCCAGTATTTTTATGAAGGTTTACTTCCTACGGAAAAGAACATGATTGATGTGGCTAGTGGAGGAGCTTTGACGGATAAGACTCCTGCAGCTGTAAGGTATTTGATTTCCAATATGACAGAGAACTCACAGCAGTTTAGTTCTAAGAGTGTGACCAAATCTGTGCATGACATAACTAGGAATGTGGCTGCAGTTGATAATCAGAGGTTGAAAAATAAGCTTATAGAGTTAACTTCATTGGTGAGGCAACTAGCAATGGGATAGGCAGCGCCACAGACACGTGGTATTCGCTTAGGTGATCATTACAATGATGCTTGTCCTCAGCTGCAAGAGAGGTCCAGTGCACCTTCTCATGTGGTGGCAAGTATACATCCTCTATACCAGCAACAGTAGCAGTATAATCCATTTGCACCTATATATAATCTAGGGTGGAGGAATCATCCTAATCTGGGATATGGTCCAAGCCCAGCACAATATCAGCAGAGGTATAATTGCTAGCAGCCACAACCTGTGCAGCATCCCGCCCACAGCCAGCACAGCAGCAGCAGCAGCCGAAATACACTCTTCTTCCTCTTAGACAACAAGCTCCACAGCAACCACCACCCTTGCAGCAACCTAATTTTGGCCCTTCTCTAGAAGAACTAATGAACCAAATGGCCACATAGAGTTTACAGTTCCAGCAGAATGTTTCAGCCACTATACAAGATTTGCAAACCCAGATTGGGCAACTAGCTACCTTAGTGAATAATCTGTAGCAGCAAGGGTCTGGAACATTACCTTCTCAACTATGGTGAATCCTAAAGGTAATGTGAGTGTTATCACTTTGAGAAGTGGCAAGGAGCTAGATAGCAGCCCAGTGCAGACCAAACCAGCCCAGCCTAGAGCAGATGTCACAAAGAAGCCTATACAACAGCAGCAGCAAATCCCTCTTCCATTTCCATCCAGAGCTTCTACATAAAAAAGAATGGAGGTTGATCAAGAGCTGTTGGATACTTTCAAAAAGGTGAAGATAAATATACCGCTGCTATATGTCATTAAACAGATTCCTAGGTATGTGAAATTTCTGAAGGAGCTATGTACATACAAGAGGAATTTGAAGAAAAAGGCAGTCCAAACAGTCTCATCCCTGTCTCAGTCCAGCCTTCCATAGAAATGTGATGATCCAGGCACATTCTCCATACCTTGCACTATTAGAGAAGCAACCTTTACTAATGCCTTGTTAGACTTGGGAGCTTCCATTAATGTCATGCCATCAACTGTGTATAAAATGCTACAATTGGGAGACCTGAAGCCAACCAGTGTGATTATTCAATTGGCAAACTGCAGCACAACTCAGCCTTTAGGAGTGCTTGAAGATGTGTTGGTAAAAGACAACCAGTTAATTTTTTCAGCTGACTTCTATATTCTTGATATGCAGGATGAGAATTCTACATTGATTCTGGGGAGGCCATTTTTAATGACTGCAAGGACCAAGATTGATGTTCATACAGGCACATTATCCATGGAATTTGGAGAGGACACAATTCACTTCAACATTTTTGAAGCTATGAGACACTCAGCTAAAGGTCATTCCATGATTGTTGATCATTTTGCTTTTTGTATTGATGTTGCAGAAAATAATAGAAATATTGATGTGTGTACAAAAGTAGATGTAGGAGTAGATTTAGACATAGACTTTGAGTTTTCGCAGTTTTTACAGTTTTATGATTTGGACATTGATGTAATTCCTAGCTACATCTATGACAGTGGCGTGTGTGCCATCTGTGCTGAGACTGATATTGCTATATCCTTTGTTTCACCTTCTCTTGCAGGTGCAGATTCTAATATTTTTATGGCTATTGAAGTTTCGCAGTTTCCTTCATCATCCACACAGCAGCAGCCACCATTGAAGCTGAACCCTTTGGCAGACCACCTCAAGTATGCCTATTTGGATACAGAGCAGAGGCTTCTAGTAATCATTTCCAGCAACCTTTATGAAAATCAGGAGGAGAAGTTGCTGAATGTTTTGAGAGTCCACAAAAAATCCATTGGCTGGACTTTGGCTGATATCCCTGGAATCAGCTCAGCCATATGCACGCATAGGATTCTCTATTAGAGGATAAGTCTAAGCCTGTGAAACAACCCCAATGAAGACTCAATCCCACCATTCTTGATGTAGTAAAGAAGGAGGTAATCAAGCTACTGATGGCTGGAATCATCTACCCTATTTTGGATAGCACATGGGTCTCACCTGTACAAGTGATGCCTAAGAAGTCTGGGATAACTGTTGTACAGAACCAGAAGAATGAGTTGGTTCTCACCAGAGTTGCTAACAAATGGAGAGTATGCATTAATTATAGCGGCTCAACTAGGCTACCAAGAAGGACTACTTCCCTCTCCCATTCATTGATCAGGTCATAGAGAGGTTGGCAGGTAAGTCTGACTACTATTTTTTGGATGGCTTTTTTGGTTACATACAAATACACATTGCTCCTGAGGACCAACACAAAATCACATTCACCTGCCTTTTTTGCACTTTTGCATATAAAAGAATGCCTTTTGATTTGTACAATGCACCTGCTACTTTTCAACGGTGTATGTTGAGTATATTTTCTGATTTGATTGAAAATTGCATGGAGGTGTTTATGGATGATTTTATAGTTTATGGTTCCTCATTTGATTCGTGCTTGCATAGTTTGACAAGAGTTTTAGACAGGTGTATTGAGAATAACCTTGTACTTAATTATGAAAAATGTCATTTTATGGTAATAGAAGATGTAGTCTTAGGACATCTTGTTTCTGAGAGAGGAATAC